GACCCTGTCTCAATATAAATAAATAAATAAGCCCCAAAGAAGTTATGATGTACTTCTCAAACTCTATACACAGATACATCGCCTGAGCGTTAAGATGTAGATTTGAATTCAGTGTCTGGCGTGGTGTTTCTGATACCAGGCGATGCCACTGCCACTGCTGCGATGCCACTTTGGGTAGCAAGTCTGCAGAGGAATAATGAATGGTTCTGAGAAAAACTATTGGTTTGCGCATTAGTCAGGGTTCTCAAAAAAAAAAAAACAAAACAACAGAACCAACAGAAGACATAGACAAACATATACACACACACATCTCTATATATAATGTCAACCAAAATTAAGACTGAAATAATTTGATAAAGGCTTCTTGGAAGCCAAATGTGAAGACTGATGATGAGACAAGTCACATCAACAAAGTTGGGAGTGTTGTGGAGTCTGTTACAAGGTGTTTGGGAGAAGGGGAGACTCTTCATACCAGGGTTGTCCTTTTCCATTAGAGGGTGCAATACAGAGGTTGTAAGAACGGGCTACAGATTGCAACATACAGGCTGAAATGTCCCCCTGAAAGACAATCAGTGAAACTTTATGACTGAGAAAGAAATCAGCATACTTTTCCGTTGTCAGTGGGTTATGCATTCATCAGTACATCAACAATCTAAGGAACTCGTGACAAGGTTCTTTACCCAGGGAAAAGATGTTGCCATGTATCACAAGACCCTCCCAAGGAAGGGTAATTTGGCTGCCTGTGTATTTTTTTTTTTTTTTTTGAGACAGAGCGTTATGTTACCCTATTGCCCAGGCTGGAGTGCAGTGGCGCGATCTCGGCTCACTGCAACCTCTGCCTCCTGGGTTCAGGCGATTCTCCTGCCTCAGCCTCCCAAGTAGCTGGGATTACAGGCACCTGCCTGGGATTACAGGCCACCACGCTTGGCTAATTTTTTTGGTATTTTTAGTACAGACGGGGTTTCACCACGTTGGCCAGGCTGGTCTTGAACTCTTGACCTCAGGTGATCCACCCGCCTCAGTCTCCCAAAGTGCTGGGAATACAGGTGTGAGTCACCATGCCTGGCCTATTTTTTTTTTCACACCTGGCCTTTTTTTTTTTTTTTTTTGAGACGGAGTCTTGCTCTCTTGCCAGGCTGGAGTGCAGTGGTGTGGTCCTGGCTCACTGCAACCTCCGCTTCCCAGATTCAAGCGATTCTCCTGCCTCAGACTCCCGAGTAGCTGGGAATACAGGCGACTGGCACCACATCCGGCTAACTTTTGTATTTTCAGTAGAGACGGGGTTTCGCCATGTTGGCCAGGCTGGTGTCGAACTCCTGACCTCAGGTGATCCACCTGCCTTGGCCTCCCAAAGGGCTCAGATTACAGGTGTGAGCCACTGCGCCTGGCCCAAGATCTATTTTTGTATAAGCTGCCTCCTGTCCTTTCTTCAAAGAGGGCATCCACAGATAGATGACAGAAAAGAAAATAATTAAGTGCTAAACTTCTCATAGAGAGTGCAGAAGGCTAAACTTCATTCATTCAATAGATATTTATTGAGCACATACTATGAGCTTGGCACTGTTCGAGAATAGAAGAGTGAATTAAATAGAATAGAGCAGTGAATTAAAGAGGTCAAAGTCTAACCCTGAGGAAGTATCTGTTAGAGGGAAAGACCAGCTCAGGAACACAAGCGAGGCATGGCTGCCCAGAGTGCATGTGTAGGTATCTTCGTACTGGGGAAGACCATTTGTTGTAACCTAGCTATGTTTGTACTTAGCCAGCCTTTCAATAACCAGTGGGGAAGAAAATGTTGACTCTTAGTTGCAGCTAGGGTCATGTACTAGAAACATAACTTCTGCTCATTCTCCTGCCCTAAACCTTGATTCTGCCTTTGACCACTCCATTTTTCCCTTTAATGCCAATTTCATGTTCTCTTTAGATGTCAACAGTGCCCTCAGGAGACAAGATGTGAGAATACTTGGCCAGATGGCATTTGTCTGTATTTTAATCAAAATGCCCCATTCTCTTTGCCAGTGTGAAGCAGCGACGTACTGTGTAGGGCAGAGACAAGAAACAGTACAGAAGCCTGCGGCAGCTTTTTACATTTGCAAGGTCAAGAAAGGTACCCAGGCTGGGCGCAGCGGCTCATGCCTGTAGTCCCAGCACTTTGGGAGGCCGAGGTGGGTGGATCACGAGGTCAGGAGTTCGAGACCAGCCTGGCCAACATGGTGAAACCCCACCTCTACTAAAGATACAAAAAATTAGCCGGGCATGGTGGCACGTGCCTGTAATACAAGCTACTTGGGAGGCTGAGGCAGGAGAATCGCTTGAACACGGGAGGTGGAGGTTGTGGTGAGCTGAGATTGCCATTGCACTCCAGCCTGGGTGACAGGGTAAGACTCCGTCTCAAAATGAATAAAATAAAATAAAATAAAGGTACCCAAAGGCTGGATTGGCTTAAATCTGTCAACCTCAGTGGCAGCACCCAGCACCATGATTGTGGGAAGAAAGCCTCCCACAGTCAGCTGTGAGCAGATTCTGAGAGCCAAAGTACTGACATGTTGAGGCAAGTGGGGTTCAGGGAGAAAGTGAATGAGAGAAAGGGCCCCAACAGTGGTTTCCTATGTATCTATCTCCTCCATGGGCAGTGAGTATTTCTCCTGCATTGTCTCATCCAGGTTTTTCTTTTTTTTTTTTTTTTTGAGACAGTCTCGATCTGTTGCCCAGATTGGAGTGCAGTGGCCGGATCTCGGCTTACTGCAACCGCTGCTTCCAGGGTTCAAGCAATTCTCGTGCCTCAGCCTCCCAAGTAGCTGGGATTACAGGTGTGCACCATCAAGCCTGGCTACTTTTTGTATTTTTAATAGAGAAGGGATTTCACCATGTTGGCCAGGCTTGTCTCTAACTCCTGGCCTCAAGTGATCCACCTGCCTCGGCCTCAAAAACTGCTGAGATTACAGGCATGAGCCACCGCACCTGGCCTCATCCAGGTTTTTCAACCATTTAATGAAATGCTATTATCCAATGAAATGCTATTATCCTGTTTCTTACTCACTTAGCTGAACCCGATCACCAACTTTGATGAGTTTGTACCACGTGCCATGCGTGACCTCTTTTTAACTGACTCCATAGCCTTACGGGCTAGGTGTTACTACTCTTATTTTAGAGATCAATAAAGTAAAGCTTAAGAAAGATTAAGTAACCTCCTCAGGGCTACAGAGCTGGTAGGTGGTGGAGCTCAGATTCAACCCAGCCGACCTACCACCAGGATTCTGCATCTCAAGTGCTTTTCAGACATCTTAGGCACAAGGCAATCAGATGGCTGCTGTGATGAGTCATCTGAAGCTCACCTTACAATAATGTCACCTCCTTAACAGAAGGACCCTAAGGCAGCAGCCCTCAGATGAGGCAGGGAAGAGAGATCCCATTACTCACCTCCAGGGAGGCCTCTAGTAACGTGCCACTCACGAGGACTCCCTATCCATCACACGCATGTCCAGTGGAAGTTGTTTATTTATTCAGTAAACATTATTAAATGCTACTATGTGCCAGGTACTCTTCTAAGCGCATTTTTAAAAAATTGTTGTTGTTTTATTTTTTTGGAGACGGAGTCTCATTCCGTTGCCCAGGCTGGAGTGCAGTGGTGCGATCTCGGCTCACTGCAACCACTGCCTTCCGGGTTCAAGCAATTCTCCTGCCTCAGCCTCCTGAGTAGCTGGGACTACAGGCACACGCCCCCATGCCTGGCTAATTTTTTGTATTTTTAGTAGAGATGGGGTTTCACCGTGTTGCCTAGGCTGGTCTCAAACTCCTGAGCTCAGGCAATCTGCCCATCTCAGCCTCCCAAACTGCTAGGATTACAGGAGTGAGCCACCACGCCTGGCCAGCACATTGTTAATATTAATGCATTCATCCTCACACCAACTGTCTGTGGTATGAGGCACTATTGTTTTCTCATTTAAATAGGGAAAATGAGGCACGGAGGTCTGAAGTAACTTGCCCTAGGTAACAGCTAGAAAGCAATGCGGCTTGAAATTAGGTAGCCTGACTCCAGGGTCTGTTCTTTTAAGGATGGCCAGATGGACTTCTAAACATCCTTAGGGAAAAACTCTCTACTCATTTTCAAATATATGTATTTCCCCTAGATGGTGGCCTGTAACAGGTCAAGAAATGGCTCTTTGTCCTGGGATGAAAAGCTTCGCAAGGGAATTTGTCTCCATTCCAAGATGTTGGCTGAAATGAGGCTGGTTTTGGAAGGGGTGTCTTTGGAAAATCTCTCAAATTTGACTTAAAAACCTCCCTGTAATACTGATCATGGAACCTGGTGAACGCATCCCTTCAAGAACTACCATGCTACCCATTCTTCTCAAACTGATGTTTTAGCAGCACTTCAAATCCTTAAAGCTCTTGCCTATAATTATAGCTCCTCTATAATTCATTGATTCCATGTTTTTCACTGCCCCAAATGTGCCAAACGCTGTGCTAGGGCTGGCATCCAGCAGGGAAGATAGATAAGATTCCAGCTTCCATGGAGGGCTGCAGTGCAACAGGCAACTTCAGCCCCGTGTAATACAGGCTGTGAGGGGACTACAGGGGGTGGAAGCACTGGTAGTGGAAACGTGACATCTAACCTTGACAGGGTACAGGAGGCCTCCCGGGGTCTGTAAGAGCAGGTACTGCACAGCAGGAGTTCAGCAACGCCTACTGCATAGATGCCTTGGCGGCCAAGCTGGGATCTGAAGAAGGGTAGGAATTAGTGAAGTGAAGGGAGGGGCTGGGGGTGAACAAGTTCTGGGGAAAGAAAAGAGACCCAGAGTTGAGAGCGCAAAATGGGATTTTTCTGCTTAGAAGGATCATTCTGCAAAGTGGAGAACAGATTTCAGGGGGCAAAGCCTGGGACAGAAGGACGATGGGAGCCCTTTACTGAGGCCCAGGTGAGAGAGGATGGGAGGAATGGGTTTGGAAGGTTAACAAAAATGGATGGGAGAGGGTTAAGGAGAAGGAGGAATCAGGGATGGCTTTCAATTTTCCAGTTTAGGTTTATCTTCCACAGCGTGGGCAGTTCTTTTTGTTTTCAACAAGATCACCCCGGGCGCGCAGACCTTCCCAGCCCGTGGGGCGAACGTGTGTGTATGGAATCAAGGTCTAAGGAACATCCATCCCAGCCATTGTTGCAAACGGGGATGTCTAGAGCTCTTCAGGACAGGAGGAAGCTCTGGCCTCGTGTAGGCAAAGGTTTCGCTCGAGGCTCTACCGCCAGCGTCTCCGTTTCCGCGTCCCCCACAACCTTGCGAAAGGTAAACTCCTACGGTCGTTTCCGGATTTTACAGAGGAGCCCCCGAAGTCTGCGTGAACCCTGCCCCAGTCACTTACTCTGCCCAGTAGGTGAACATGAGGCCCAAGCCCCACGCTGTGATTCCAAGTTCGTTTGCTGGGCACGGTAAGTGAACCCTGGGAGTCCTGGACTCTGGTGAAGGCCACCATGCCCTACCTGGAGGTTGGTCAGGGTCTAACATCCTCTGGCATCCACTGGAAGGGACTGCGTTAGGATTTTTTTCTCTCGTAAAAAAGTTCCTGTCTCCCCCTAGAGCCGGGCACACGCCTCCCGAGCCAGACCACTTGTCCCAGGCACAACGTTTTTTGACTCTTCGCCTCCCCCGTTCCGATCCCCCTTCCTCTCCGCCTTAGGTGGCAGGAAAATCCTTTACCTCCGACCAATCCCACCGATGCCGAGCCGCGCGCGCGCGCCAACTCGAGCTCCGTCTGTGCACGCCATTGGCCACCTCCACCTATGCGGGGTGACGGGCAGCTTCGCGGACCTATCGCCGAGGGAGGCGGAGGCCTCCAGCCTTCCCAAAGCTGCTTTGTTAGGGGCTCCCTGGTCGTCCCCCGGCCCGCCGCGCCTCCGCTGCCTGCGGGAGATCTCCCCGGTCCCCGCTGCCGGAGCCTCGCAGGAAGGCATCCCCGGAGCGCGCGCCGCCCGCGCCCCTCCAGCCGCGCGCTCCGAGCCGGGCCGCGGCGCGGATACCCGGCGTGCGCCCGTAGTCGCTCACCAGCCCAACTCCGAACGCCCCGCTCCTGCATCCGCCGCCTCGGATTGGCTGGCCGGAGGCGGAGCGATTGTCAGGCGGCCCAATCGGAGCTCGGTTTCCCACGGGCTCCCGCTGCCCGGCCCCCGAGGCCGCCGGCGGAGGCGCCCTGACAGCTCCCATTGGCAGACCGCGAGCGGGTTCGAGCCTGGCCGGCAGAGCAGCGCCGCCGCCGTCGGGCGCGCAGCTCTGCAGCTCCGCGAACGCCTTGGCGCCCGCAGCCCCAGGGGCCCGGCGGCCCCGCATCGTGCCCGGCCCCGTCGCGGAGATCCCGGACGACCGTCGCGGGTGAGTACCGCGGGCCTGGGGGGCGCGGGCGTCCGGCCGGAGCCGCCCCGGCGGACGGCGGCGAGGATGCCCAGAGCCTCGGTGCCCGTGCCGGGCACGTTCTGACCCCCATCTCCCACACACTGGGGCTCCCGGCGGGTCCTAGCTCCCCCCGATCGGGCTTTCCACGTATTGTTTTCGTGTTCACACACTTGGGAGGTGGGGAGATCCGGGGAGGGGAGGCAGGAGGAGGCATCCCTCGCGCGAAGGAGGGAGACGAGACAGTGCAGCCCAGGTGCCCGGCGCCGGATGGAAATGACAGCGTCCGGACGTCGGCATTCGGTCCTCTCGGCAGCAGGAGGTCAGCGCTGACCTGCGGCGGCCGCGGCACTTTATATTTTATCGGCTGATTTTTGTCAACTTCGGGGAGGGCGTGCGTGTGCGTCCCTGTGTCTGTGTTTGCGTCTTGGTCCCTGACTTAGGCACCTCCGGGCCTGGCTTTTCGGCGACGCTTCTTGGGCGCTCACCTTGGCGATCCGTGCCGCGCTCGGGGCCGGGCTCACGGGGCGGAGAGCCCGGGGGCCGGCGCACGGAGCTGGGACCCGCGACGAACCCCCGGAGGGGGGCATTTAAAGCGGAATCCTGCGGGTGTGCAGACAATGCCTCATCCGGGCGGCCGGGTCCCGGGGGCCGTGCCCTGGGTCCCCGTGCCGGATCCCGTCCCCGCCTCGCCCTCTCACCAGCTCTGCCGCTGCGATGCTGCTGCGCCGCGCCCCTCGCCACCCGGCTGGCGACCCGCGTGGGGCCCGCTTTTGTTTACAGACCTCGCCATTGGGCGAGAGCAGCGTGCCGTGCGCCCCCAGCCCCAGCGGCTGCCGCCTGCCCCCTCCGAACCTGGAGAAGTTGGTGCGCGCTGTCAGGTGACGCCCCCTCCCCCCGGCCGCGGGGCGGGATGCTGCAGGGGAAAGATGCCGTCTCGGCGCCTTCGCGCCCAGCCCCCGCCGCGCACGGCGCCTCTAGGTCCCCTGCACCCGGGGGCGCCCGTGTCCCAGCCTTGGGCCCAGGCTGGCGGCCCTCGGGGCGCCGACTCGGCCACGCTCACCCGGTTCCAGTCGCATCTTCTGGTCTAGCCCCCGGGTCAGCCCAGGTTGACTCGGAGCCTGCCTTTTCCCGCGCGCTGGCAGGTCTTGAAGGACGCGCGCGAGCCCTTGGGGACACTGTGCAGTCTGTGCCCGCCTCGGTAACACCCGCGCGGCCCCGCGGGACAGCTGTGCCGCATCCCGAGCCAGAGCCGTCCGGATCGGGTTACCCATGCACGCTGACTTGGCGCATACTTTGAGTTGGAGCAGAGGTTGAGAGCCTGTGCGCTGAGGTCAAACAAACCCGGGTTCCAGTACCTGCCCGGTGTCACTCACAAGCTGGGTGATCCCGGCCGAACTACTCTATCTTCCTTCGTCTCAGTTTGCGCATCTGTAAAGTGGGGATAAGGAGTAGTCTCCAGGGGGGCGGGGCTTAAATGACCATACAGATTAACCTCATAGCACAGTGACAGCCACGTATGAAACACTGGAGTCCTGTTGATGTTATTGTGTGTTAGAGGAAATCTGTAATAGAGGATGACCCCTTGTCGCTTTCCTTTTCTGCGTTCTTCACTCCCCTAACCCCGATTTCTTTTTATTATAAAAGGCATGAAGGACTGCTGTTCTCAGCTCAAACAGGACTTGTTTTACTTGGCCTTAGGTTTAATTAGACTTATCTAATCGCGTACAGCCCTTTTAAAAATGTGTTTGAATTTCCATTAGGTTTTAGTTGTTTCTTCTTTCTTCTTCAAGACTCTGCTGGGACCCAGACCTGGGTTTGGAGAAGGAAAAACCCTTCCAGGTGGAAGGCAGTTGCCAGTGAACCAATGACTGCTGTGGAAAGTGATTAAGTCCAGGAAGGAGGGAGGTTTGAACAAAAAGATGTCTGGAGGCTGGGAGGGAACACTTTCTAGGAGAGATGAAATTTAAGCTGTGCCTTGTAGCTGAAGAAGTTTGGTAAATTGCTGGTTTCCAGCATATGCTCTTTTGTATATCAAGGTAAAAAGCCGGGCTGGGGAGGGTGGAAGCCTTTGCGTGGTAAACATCGACGTTGCTAAGTAATTATCTTTGAATAGGGGAGAAATAAAACTTAAGGAAGAGGCTGTTGACTAAGCAGGGAAGGTAGAAGAAGAGAATCAATTTCACTGAATATCTTCAAAATGTCGTGAATGTGTTTTGACTTGTTTTTCCTCCACTAGCTCTGCACTGCTACTTTTCTTTAGGCAAAAAGAGAAATCAGTTTCGTGTGGGAATAAACAAAGCAAAATAATAACAGTCCATAATCAGATAAATAGTTTAAAAAGATGATCTCAGGCTTAACGACAGACTAAAATTTTATTGGAAAAAAAAAAAACTTCCTGTTTTAACACCCTTTTGCTTGTTGGAATAAATTATTGGGTCCAAAAACACATTCTTTGAATGTAGGCCCCAGGGGCCTTTGCCAGCCAAAACAAGCAAACAAACAAACATAAACTCGACTTGGAGGCTATCCAGTGGTTGGAGAAGCCCTCAGGATTGCGCTCTGTCTCTTCTGTTCCCCTGGGCCTGCCTCAGTTATCCTGAGTGCAATTTGACTCCCGTGAACCCCATATTCAGCTGTTGATGTGGAACATGGCCAGTAGCATTATTGCTATATATCAATTAATAAATATGATAACCTATTTAAAGTTGAGCTCTCAGAAATGATTCCCATCCTTCTTGTACTTGTTCTGGGAATTCTCACGCCCTTAGGGATGCTGAAGGCCTCTTTCCCCCGCCGCTGTTGTGTGGGGATCAAATCAGTTGGGGGCCTAGACTTAAAAGGGAGCACGTGGTTAGGGAATCTCATTAGCTGACAATTTAACTCTACTCTAATGCTCGTCCAAAGAGCCCGGACAAAGACTTCCTCTCCTTTCCCTTTGCAGTTCTCTCTCCTTGCTCCTCTCCCCTCCCCTCCCCCTCTAAACCAGAAAGGAAAAGCGCTGGGCCTGTCTCCTTCCCGCCAGATTCCTGCAGTTCTGGTGTGCCCACTGAACCCCAGGCATTCTGGAGCCCGAGCGGGAATTCCTTGGAAGAGTCTGCTGAGGGCCTACTAGGTGCATGTGTTGACACTTCTGCGATTTCTGCAAGGATCGTATTGTCTAAAGGAGAAACATGTTTTGTGAGACAACCTGTCATAGATGTGCGGTAGAAGCCTCCGGTTTTTCCAAATGAGAAAGGCAGGTGAGAACACGAGAGTCCCATCAAAGCCTTGCCTAGAAATCAGGGCCGGGAGGGGGGCTTCTGCCTGTTTGTCAAGGGCAGAGGAGTGGGAGTGAGCAGCCAGGAAGAGAATTCCGTTCCTCTGGGCCAGGTACAGATTCCCATGAAGGTGCTGAACACCACGGACTCAGGCTTGTGGTTAAGAAAGAACCTCGTTTTACGATCTCCAGTCATTTGGTCTTCCGTATCAAAAACACACTTTCACTGGGGATGTGTGTGTGTATATATTCTATACACACGTATATTTCCATGTACATTTTCTTTCTAAATTAAGCAAATAGGTAGAAGGTATGTTTCTAAGGGTATCTCTCTGTTTTTTTATTTTTTCCTCAATTCAGGACCAGAAAAATCAGATTAGCAGGGCTCTAGTAAACGTTTCTGTTTTTCCCAATTCTAAACTTCAGGGCTTTTCATCTCTAAATACTCCATTTTATATACGCTATAACTCCTGTGTTAAAAAAAACAAAAAAACATTCTCTCTGATCATCATTGTAGGCCAAATCACTTATTAAAAAAACAAGAAAAGAGACATTCAGAAATAAAGCAGTACTCAGCAGAGAACATAGTGTTTTTTAAAATAAAACAATGCTCTAGTGTAAAAGGGTACACGATATTAATAGTTAGGTGGAGTTTTTCCCTTCCATTCCCTTCCCAACCTCTGGCACCGTCCTCCACACCCTCCAGCATAAGACCTTCCCTGTTCCTGTGGTCTCCAGGGACCTCATTAAGAAATTCATACGGGCCTAGACTGTGGGCATGGGAAGCCGCAGAGATTCCTCCAGTGCTTGTGTGAGATTCTTCTAGAAGACCTTGAAGCTCTTTCACTAGGTGAAGAGGTTCTCCCCCTGGGCTGAGGCAGAGCTGGGAGACTTTGCATCCTACCGCAGAGCCCTGGAGTGGGGTCTCAGCTCACTGAAATGATTGCAGAGATGGAGGGGGTGGGGGTACCACGCAGGCAATGATCTGAGAGCTGATCAATTGTCTGCTTTCAGAGGATGTTAAACAAAGAGTGATGATTCATCGAAGAACTCTGTGGGAGGAAGTTTCTTTCAGCTGAGCACAATCTCAGTTTCAGAATGGGCCCAGGGCCCTTTGAGGCTTAGTCCTGTCACCAAGTATTTCTTTCTATAAAGGAAGACTTGGGTGTAGTTGGAGCGGGGGCATCCTAGCCTTTTAGAACCTAGCAAAACCGAAGTATAATATGGATATTTCCTGTTTGGGACCACTTTGAATACATGAAAGAAAGATGAAAGAGAGGGGGAAGTGTCTTTGGTTTTAAAAAAATAACACCTGTATTATTTATTCCAGCTTCTGCCCCACTAGAGTATGATTTTATTAAAGAGCAAAGGATTCTTTTTTTTTTTCTTTTTTTTTTGAGATGGAGTCTTGCTCAGTCGTCCAGGCTGGAGTGCGGTGGCACGATCTGGGCTCACTGCAAGCTCTGCCTCCCGGGTTCACGCCATTCTCCTGTCACAGCCTCCCGAGTAGCTGGGACTACAAGCGCCCGCCACCATGCCCGGCTAATTTTTTGTATTTTTAGTAGAGACGGGGTTTCACCGTGTTAGCCAGGATGGTCTCGATCTCCTGACCTCGTGATCCGCCGATCTCTGCCTCCCAAAGTGCTGGGATTGCAGGTGTGAGCCACCGCTCCCGGCCAAGAGCAAAGGATTCTAATGCAGTTGTGCTGGGAAAAAGGTCTAA